TTACCCATTTGTCTTCTGATTGGAGCATTTAACTAATTTACATTTAAAGTCATTATTGATAGGTATAGCGTAGTTATTGCCATTTTGTTCATTATCTTCTGGTTGATTTTGTATTTTTTCTCTATTCCTTTCTTATTCTCTTGCTCTCTTCTTTTGTATGTGATGACTTTCTGTAGTGCTGTGTTTGGATTCCTTTTTGTTTGTTTGTTTCTTGTCTATCCCTTGCAGGTTTTTGGTTATCTATTTTAGCAGTCTATTTTAAGTCGATAGTCATTTAAGTTTGAACACATTCTAAAATAACTTCTATTTATACTCACCCCCTCCACATTTATGTTTTTGTCATTATTTACTTCTTTTATGTTTGTGTGTACCCCTTAATTTACTGTTGTAATTACAGTCTTCCTACTTTTGCCTTTTAACCTTTGTGCTAGATTTAGTGTTGGTTGATCCACTGCTTTTATTATGTTTGCTTTTGTCAGTGAGAATTTTTTTTGCAGTGTTTTCTTATTCACAGTTTTTATATGTTTTCATTGATTTTATTAGAGAAGAAGGGAGAGATAAAAACATCAATGTGAGAGTGACATATCAACTGGCTGCCTCCTGCACGCCCCCTACTGGGAATCGAGCCCACAAACTGGGCAAGTGCCCAGACCAGGAATGAAACGGGGACCTCTCAGTCCCTGGGATGACGCTCAATCCACTGAGCCACACCAGCATGGCCACATTTTTTATTGTTTTCTTCTTCTTTTTTGAAAAATCTTTATTGATTGAGAGAGGAAGGGAGAGGGAGAGAGAGAGAGATAGAAATATCGATTAGAGAGAACATTTGTTGGCTGCCTCCTGCATGACCCCCACTGGGGATCAGGCCCACAACTTGGGCATGTGCCCTGACTGGGAATTGAACCGGCAACCTCTTGGTGTATGGGTCAATGCTCAACCACTGAGCTACACTGGCCAGGCTATTTTTCTTTTATTTTTTTATCCTCACCCGAGGACATTTTTGCATTTATTTTCAGATAGAGCGGGAGGGAGGGAGAGAGACAGCGATGTAAGAAAGACACGAGTGGCTGCCACTCACACGACCCCAACCAGGGCCAGGGACAAACCACAACTGAGGTGCGTGCCCTTAGCAGGAACCGAACCCGGGACTCTCTGGTCCACAGACTGATGCTCTAACCGCTGAGCCAAACCGGCCAGGGCTATTCTTCTTCTTAAGGAAGTCCCCATAATGTCTCTTGTAATACTGGTTTGGTAGTGATGAACTCCTTCAGCTTTCTCGTGTCTGGGTTTGAATGCTAAGTTTTGTATAATTTGTTACACAGCAACAAAGAACCACTACACCACCTCCTTGCCCACTGCCAACACTCCTGTAGTTACCATCAGCCAATTGTCACGTGCCTACCCACAGAAGGCTCTTCCTGCAAGACTTTTAAGCAGCAGATAATGACCCACTGCAAACAGAACAAATTTCATAAGATTCTAGCTTTAATTAGCCGAAGGGCAAAGGAGAGATCACATGAGAAGTGTCACAGGAAGCAGCAAAGGCTAGCAGAGCTGCAGAAGGCTCCAGGCTGCAGCACGTGGACCAGCCCATGCACAGGAGCGAGGGGGCAGTACAGGCAGGAGAAGTCTGTACCAAGAGCTCAGGCAAGACTAGTCGCCCCAGTTTGGCTGGAGACGAGACTCAATGCGGTAGGCTCGCCGCAGGCAAGATGACCAGAGTGTGATGGGCCTTAATGCAAAGCTAATTCATTTGAGGCTCCCATGATAAAAGTGGCCCAGTGACCCATATATCTGAGAACAAAACTCAACTTGCTTTGGCTGTAAGTACAATTATACTTGTCCAGGTCATGTGACAGTTTGGGAGCTGAGAAAGAGTTCCCTGTGGCAGTGGGGAACCCTGAAGGTTTTTGAGGATGGTGCGATGTGGGTTCTAAGGGTACCAGGAGTGTGTAGGGCTGGAGAGGATGGAGACCGGAAGTAGGAACAAGACTGCCCCGGAGTCCCGATGTCGGGAATAGGGTAGCGGCAGTGCAAGCTGGAGAACGGGGTGGCTGTGCCATGCTGGAATGGCCGGTTGGAGGCGGTGGGGAGCAGCAGTTGAAGGTGAGGCCCAGTACTGAGCTGGTGACATGGGAACACAGCAAGCTGGTTGAGGAGCATGTAAGGTGACAAGGTCCAATGGGGTGACTGCAGTGTATCCAGCTAGCAGGAGGGAGCAGTCTCAGGCCTGCACTCGGGAGCGAGATGAGGGCTGGTGATGCAGATCTGATAGTGACTGCCCGCTCAGGGCTGACAAGTCCATCTTTGGGAGGTGGTGACGAGGATGGTTCCTTAGTAGGAACTGGCTCTCTCTGATGAGCCCATCCTCATCAGTAACCCTCCACCCACCATGCCCCTGCCCACCCAAGTGATGAGGTCCTGGGTCAGGGACAGTTTTCCTCAAGTAGTCCAGTCCTCAGCTGGCCCCTAAAAGCCAAAAGCATTGAGGTATTTCCCAACAGCCAGATTGCGGCTTACAATCCCTGGTCCTCTGTCATGGGGCTCAGGCCACAGAATACGAAAGCAAAAAGCCTAAGACTAAATAGTTCTAATCCTATTTCTGCTCCAGACCAGTCATGTGACCCTCCTTGAGCAACTCACTTTCCCTATTTGGGCTTGTTTTCCCTTCAGCAAAATGCCAGGCTTGGCCTTGGACTTGGTGGTTTTCAGATCCTGCCCCTGAGGAACACGGGTTCCACGGCGGGTCAACAGGGCCTGCCTCCTAAATCAAGCAGTAGCAGACTGCGACTAGCTCCAATTTTAGGGTTTTCTCCCATAAACCATTAGCAACCAGTACTAGTACTGTTTGTTTGCCAGCAAGGGATCACAGATAACACAATGAATAAACAGTGAACGGGAAAAACCTGACAGTGGGTGGCCACGTTGGTCTGACAGTCTCCTGTTTCCGGAGACTTTATGTTCCAGCATCACTCTGGTGCCCGTGGTGTTTCTGGGTGCTTCACAGAGGGCTCTGGGACTCCCTAGTGCCTGTAACCCAGAGAGACTGGGGACACAGCCAACTCAGTGCTCTCCAAGGACCTTCCCACTGCTCATCTTTCCTGTTCTCAGTGAGGGTTTCCTAGCTCCTCAGAGCCCATCTTTTTTTAAAAAATCCTCACCCAATGATATATTTCCAGTGCTTTCCAGATAGAGTGGAAGGGAGAGAGGGAGAGAGACACACACATCGATGTGAGAGAGACACGGACTGGCTGCCTCCTGCCTGACCCCCACCAGGGCCGGGGATCAAACCCTGACTGGAAATCGAACCCGAGACCCTTCGGTTCTGGGGCCGATGCTCTAACCGCTGAGCCAAACCAGCGAGGGCCTCAGAGCCCATCGTTGATGAATACCTTCTTTAGGCAGAACATCGTGCTTTACATTCATTAACTCAGATAATCCCCCACAGAATTTCCCCACAGCCTCACGAGATAAGCACTATTACTGTGTTCTTCTTTTCTTTTTTTTAATCCTCACCTGAGGACATTTTTGCATTCATCTTCAGATAGATCAGGAGGGAGAGAGGGAGAAAGAGAGAGAGAGAAACATTGATGTGAGAGAGACACATCGAGTGGCTGCCACCCACACGACCCCAACCAGGGCCAGGGACAAACTGCAACCGAGGTACATGCCCTTAGCGGGAACTGAACCTGGGTCTGTCTGGTCTGCAGGCCGACGCTCTACCTGCTGAGCCAAACCGGCCAGGGCTATATTCTTTTTTTGTTGTTTAAGAAACAAAGCCACCCTGACCAGTGGCAGCCACTTGATGTGTCCCTTTCACGTTGATGTTTCTCTCTTTCTCTCTTCCTCTCTCTCCCTCCCACTTTATCTGAACAAAAAATGGAAGGATGTCCTCAGGTGAGGATAAAAAAAAAAAAAAAAGAAAAGAAACAAAGTTGTTTGTTTGCTTCTTGCATGTGAAGTCCTCCTCCATGGACTCCTCGAACCACCACGCAGCTGCCAACCCCTTTACACGGCGTCCCTACCATTCCCCTGGGTGGCCCTGGTGCTCAGCACAGGCGTCCGCCCGCCGACACACGCAGGCTCATCACGGGGCTGCGAGTGCACAAAGCCGGGCTGGGCCCTTGTCCAAGGCGTTGACAGCTTCGCGAATTCGGGTGGAGGAGCGTCTCCAGCGCCTCTCGAAAGCCGTAGGAACACCCAGCAGAGGCCTTCCTCGGCCCTGACCGCCCCCGGCCTCCGGCTGCTCCTCCAGGGCAGGGGACCAGAGGAGGTGCATTTGCACAGATGAGGGGACTGAGACGCCACGAGGGTAGATGGCTTCCCAAGGTCACAGCCGGTGCCAGAGCTGGCACTTGAACGGAGAGTCTGAGCTCTGCCTTCCCCAGGGTGCCTGCGCTCTGTGCCGTCAGCGCTGTGACCAGATCTCTCCCGTTCTCCCTGGGACACACGTGAGATCCACCTCCCCATCCCCGCTGGCCAGTGGAGTGTGAGCTGCAGTGTGAGTGTCACTTCTGGTGGAAGTTTTGACAGCCAGGGACCACTGCCACGTTTCCTCTGCCTTCTCCAGGAGTTGCAGAAACACGGTGAAGAGCCTCCCTCGCCCGGGGTCCGCTCGCCTTCCACCCCCACCCCCACACCGATGGACACAGAGAGTAAATAAGAAATAACCTTGATCCCCCTTAAGCCGCTCAAGTTTGGCGGTCATTTGTTTCTGTGCCATAGCTAGCCCCTCCTGTAATCCCGTGTTACACTGTCTTTTGTTGATTATCTTTGGCCTCAGTCCCCAAAACTGTCTTCTCCCTGAAGCTCCCTGAAAGCATTGGCTCCACATCGCAACTTGAAAAGCAGCAAGAGAAGGGAGTCTGTCCCCTAAACAGGGAAGTGGGGGTGTGTTCTGGGAGGTGTGCCCACGCTTTGCCATGCGCCAGGGCATGGGCTATGCTGGATGAAATCTGTCCCTAGCCCTGGAAGGCCCTGGACAGACACTGCCCTCAAGCTTCTCTCTCATAATCATTTATTGGCTCCCCTTAACTTTACTCCCCGTTATTAAAGTAGGAACGACTGGTCTGGCAGAAAGAGGGCTGCACTCTCACGTCCTGGGGGCACTGCAGGCTGACTATGACCTTGCAGGCCTGGATCTGAACCTCCTCCTCCGGGTGGATGACCAGGGCAAGCAGCCGGTCTGCCAGGCGTGACTGGTCCCCAAAGAGAGCTTCATGCAGAGACTGTTCGTTGTAGTGCCATTTCACGGCCCGGTAGTGCGGGGTGTTCCGGCCCTCGCTCAGCCGCTCTGCAAACACCAGGACCTCGAACAGCAGGCTCCCTGGCTGTGTGGACTGGAACAGGTTCAAGAAGTTGGCGTGCACCTGTGCCGGAGATGGAGAGAAGAAGGGAATAAAACCCAAGGCAAGTCCTCAAGTCCTTCTTCCATCTTCCTATTGCCTCTATTCCCCAGTACACCTAAGTTTCCGATTCAACGGTGTGGGGTTTTCGTTTTCCTTTCATTGTTATTCTCTAACATGATTGCACTGTGGTCATCAAACATGAATGGTTTGGTAATGATACTGATTCTGGAAAATACGTTATGACAAACTTTAAAGTTTAATGTGTGGTTAATTTTTATAAATATATTGTGTGTTTGAGAGGAAAGAGCATTTACTAATTATAGAGTGTTCTGGGTATGTTTAATGGCTCAAACTTGTTTGTGTTATTCCCAGCGAGTATACCCTTAACTAGTTGTTTAATCTAGTAATTGCTGAAACAGTAGTTAAAATCGTCCAAATCTACTGTAGTCGTGGGTATGTTCATTTTTCTTTGTGATTATTCAGTTTCGAATAAGAGGAAATCCTGCCATTTGTGATGACGTGGACGGGCCTTGAGGACACTAAGCTAAGTGAGATAAGCCAGACAGACAAATGCTACATGGGATCACTTTTATTTTTATGTGGAATTGAAAAAAAAGAGTCAAACTCATAGAAACAGAGAAAATGGCCCTGACCGGTTTACTCAGCGGTTAGAGCGTCGGCCTGTGGTCCAGAGAGACCCGGGTTCGGTTCCCGCTAAGGGCACGGACCTCGGTGCAGTTTGTCCCCGGCCCTGGTTGGTCGTGTGGGTGGCAGCCACTCGATGTGTCCCTTTCAAGTCGATGTTTCTCTCTCTCTTCCTCTCTCTCCCTCCCATTCTATCTGAACAAAAAATAGAAAAGTGTCCTCGGGTGGGGATAAAAAAAAAAAAAGAAACAGAGAAAATGTTGCCAGGGGTTGGGGGAGAGGGAAATGGGGAGCGGCTGGTGGAAGAGAACAAATATTTAGCTGTTAGACGAATACGGTCTGAGGCTTGAATGTGAAGCATGGTGGCTACAGTGAGTAACACTGGGTTATATCATTGAAATTTGCTAAGAAATTAGAACTTAAATGTCCTCACGCCCTCCCCAAAAGATGTGAGGTGTATTAACTAACTAGATGGTGGAAATCCTTCACAATATATACACATATCAAATCACCACAATGTAAACTTTAAATATGTTATACTTTTATCTGTCAATTATACCTCAATAAAATTGAAAAACAAGAGAAAAATTTTTTCTTGTAATTCTATCAAGTTTTGCCATGTATAGTTTGAGATTATGTTATTAGGTCCATAGAAGTTTAGGGTTGCTTTATCCCCCTGACCATTAATTATTATGTAATGACCTTGTCTGTTCCTAAGAATGGTTTTTGTTATAAGTAACTTTTTCCTAGTATTAAAATAACTACATTAACTTTTGTTTTGTCATCTGAGTTCCCGATTCTGAGTTTAGAAAGCCCCTCAAAGTGCACAGGCAGGAAGAGGAACAAAACACAATTCTTCCTTCCCAGGGTCCGAGTTGGCATCCGTCAGCCCTCGTCACCTCCTTTCTCACCTGGCAGTTGAGAATATCATAGAGAAGGTCATTTTTCTGTGCCACGTAGCTCAGCAGTCGGACGGCTTGCACCTAAACGAAGGAAACAGTCAAGCATGAGAGGGCAGGCGAGTCCGCGCCTGAGCAGATGAGACACAGATCTCTTCTCCCCCTCTGCTGAGCCAGGGCTGGCCGGGAGGCACCTGTGCCAGGATACAGTCTGACTGAAGAATCTCCATCAAGGCAGGCATCACCCGGCGCAGCTGTGGGTACACAAAGTCGGGCAGTGGCAGGTTGTTGAGGAGTCTGAGGCCTGCAATGTGCAGCTCCGAGTCCCAGATGGTGGATGTCAGCTCCAGGACCTTGATGAAGTGTTCCTGGGGGAGGGGAAAGGGTCTGCTTTTATACGACGATCCCGCCTCTGCCTTCACCCTTTTCTGCCCCCACCCAGAATGCCTGAGCCGAGCCCAGGAAACGATCCTAACTTAAACTCTCAACATCATTTGCCCTGGTTGCCCATTCCCATACTCCAGACGATCTTTCTTCACTTGGCTTCTCTTTCCCAGACTTCTTTCCTCGTTCTTCTGCCCAAGCCCCTCTTCTCTGTTGCAGGACGCCCTTAGTGACACCATCCGGACTGAGTGAAGTTCTCTCCGTATGCTGATGCCTTTCAAGTTCACTGCAGACCTCTCCCTGAACTTGTCACACGCTCAGGCGCCAGTGCCACCGCTCCCCAGAACGCTCCCCAGCCCTGAGCTACCGCGCTCGGGCCCAGCCGGCTCCTCCCACCGCCTTCCAAGTCGGCTGTCCTTCACGCCTTCCTTCCATCACTCAGGCCAAAGACCTTGGTGCGCCTTGACTTTCTTTCCCTCACACTCTTTTTCCAATCCTTCAGAAAATCCCGTTGGCTCTACCTTCAAAATCTATCAAGTCAAGCCACTTCTCACCACCCACCTGCTACCGTTCCAAGGCACTGTTCCCTCCTCTCGTTTCCGCAGTAGCCTCTGTCTCCCTGCTTCCACCACCCCACCTGCATCTGTTTGCAGATCAGCAGGCCTGTTAGGCACCTGCTTGTCTGCTGGTCCTTAGTTCATTGAGGGTAAGAGCTAAAGTCCCCACAGTGGTTACAATCCGATATGAGCTGCCCCTCCCTGGTTATTTCTTCTGCCTCGTCTCCTATTTCCTCCTTTGCTCCCACAGTTCCCATCACAATGGCCTCTTAGCTATTCCTGGAACATGCCAGGGATACACCTACTTTGGGGTTTTTGCATAGGCTGCTGGTTCTACATAGAATGTTCTCACTCCTGATAATCATAGCTCACCCTTACCGCCTGCAGGACCTGAGCTCACCTCAGTGAGGCCTTCCCCGACCACCTCCTTTAAAACTCCCACGCCACCCCATCCCAGCCTTCCTCACCCCATCTTTTTACTTTTCTCCATTGTACTGCTGCAGGTGTAGCACACTTTTTATTTTCAAATAAGTATAAATTCACAGGAAGTTGCAAAGATAGTACAGAGAGGTCCTGTGTGCCTTTCACCCAGTTTCCCTCAATGGTCACGTAAGCCTTCTATGGTTATAGTGCAGCCAAACTAGGACACTGGTATCGGTACATGTGTGTGTGGTTCTAGGTCATTTTATCAGGTGTCAAGTCACATAACGCCACTGCAGTCAATGGAGTGTTCCACCAGGATCGTCCCAGCACCACGAAGGTCTCCCTGTGGGACCACGACATTCATACTCTCCCCACCACTGGCAACCACTAATCTACTTTTCTTCTTACAATCCAGACATTTGGAGAATGTTATAGAAATGGTATCATACTTGGTGATCATCTGAGATTTTTTCACTCAGTATAATGCTCTTGAAATCCATCCGAGTTGTCTGCGTCAGTAGTCTGCCCGTTTACTAGGGCTGTGGTCCGCGGTGCGGACGACCGGTTTGTCTCAGCTCTCGAGACTCACTCTGGTTGTTTCATTTTTAACTATTGCAAGTGAAGCTTCTATGAATAATTGTATACAGGTTTTTGTGTAAATGCAGGTTTTCATTTCTCAGGATAAATGCCCAGGAGTCTAATCGCTGGTTTGTGTGGTAAATGTATAGTTAACTTTTTTTAAAGAAATTGCCCAACTATTGAGCCATGCACCAAGATGTCACTGGTTCGATTTCTGGCCAGGGCACATGCCCAGGTTGTGGACCCGATCCCCAGTGGGGGGCATGCAGGAGGCAGCCAATCGATGTTCTCTCTCATTGATGTTTCTATCTCTCTCTCCCTCTCACTTCCTCTCTCTCTAAAAATCAATTAAAAAAAAAATTGCCTTGGCCGGTTTGGCTCAGCAGTTAGAACGTCAGCCCACGGACTGGAGAGACCCGGGTTCGGTTCCTGCTAAGGGCACGTACCTTGGTTGCAGTTTGTCCCCGGCCCTGGTTGGGGTTGTGTGGATGGCAACCAGTTGATGTGTCTCTCTCACATCGATGTTTCTCTCTCTCTCCCTCCTGCTCTATCTGAAGATAAATGCAAAAATGTCCTTGGGTGAGGATTAAAAAAAAAGAAAAATTTTTTTTAAATATTCCCATGCAATTAAAAAAAAAAAAGAAACTGCCAAACTATTTTCCTGAGTGGCTGTTGTACCATTTTACATTCTCATCAGCTCATTTCTCAACATCTTTGTCAGCATTTAGTGTCATCACTAATTTGTGGAGTTTAGATCATGTAACAGGTGTATTGTTATTATCTTATTATGGCCTTAATTTGCATTTCCCCAAAGATGTTAAACATCTTTTCTTTTTTTTTTTTATCCTCACCCGAGGATATTTTTCCATTTTTTGTACAGATAGAGTGGGAGGGAGGGAGAGGAAGGGAGAGAGAGAGAGAGAGAGAAACATCGACGTGAAGGGACACATCGAGTGGCTGCCACCCGCACGACCAACCAGGGCCGAGGACAAACTGCAACCGAAGTACGTGCCCTTAGCGGGAACCGAACCCGGGTCTCTCCGGACCGCAGGCCGACGCTCTAACCGCTGAGCCAAACTGGCCAGGGCTAAACATCTTTTCTTTCTTTTTTTTTTTTTATCCTCACCCGAGGACATTTTTCCATTTTTCTTTTTTTTATCCTCACCTGAGGACATTTTTCCATTTTTTGTTCATATAGAGCGGGAGGGAGAGAGAGGAAGAGAGAAAGAGAGAAACATTGATGTGAAGGGACACATCGAGTGGCTGCCACCCTCACGACCAACCAGGGCCGGGGACAAACTGCAACCGAGGTACATGCCCTTAGCGGGAACCGAACCCGGGTCTCTCTGTACCGCAGGCCGACGCTCCAACCACTGAGCCAAACCGGCCAGGGCTCCATTTTGCTTTTTGTTCAGATAGAGTAGGAGGGAGAGAGAGGGAGAGAGAGAAACATCGACGTGAAAGGGACATATCGAGTGGCTGCCACCTGCACAACCAACCAGGGCCAAGGACAAACTGCAACCAAGATACATGCCCTTAGTGGGAACCGAACCCGGGTCTCTCTGATCTGCGGGCCTACACTCTAACCGCTGAGCCAAACCGGCCAGGGCTTTCTCTCTTTTTTTTTTAAATCATCACCCAAGGACATTTTTGCATTTATCTTCAGATAGAGCAGGAGGGAGAGAAGGAGGAAGAGAGAAACATCGATGTGAGAGACACATGGACTGGTTGCCACCCACACAACCCCAACCAGGGCCAGGCACAAATTGCTATCGAGGTACGTGCCCTTAGCAGACTCTCCAGTCCGTGGGTTGACACTCCAACAGCTGAGCCAAACCAGCCAGGGCTGTTAAACATCTTTTCCTGTGCTTATTTGAAATTTGTGTATCTTCTTCAGTGAAATTTCTCCATGTCTTCTGCCCATTTCTAATTGGATTATGTTTTTTTTTAAATCCCCACCGGAGGATATTTTTCTATTTATCTTCAATAGAGTGGGAGGGAAGGAGGAAGAGGGAGAGAAATGTCAACGTAAGAGAACACATTGATTGGTTGCCTCCCACATGACCTGGACCAGGGCCGGGGACAAAACTGCAACCGAGGTACTAGAATCAAACCCAACTGGTCCACGGGCCAGGGCGGATTATGATTTTTAATACTGAGTTTTGAAAGCTTTTTATATAATCTAGGTATGAGTCCTTTGTCATATATGTGGTTTGCAAATATTTTCTCCCAATCTGTAGCTTACCTTTTCATCTGCTCATAAAGCAAATGTTTTTAATTTTGCTAAAGTCCACTTTATAATTTTTTTCTTTTATAAGTCATGCTTTTGGTGTCATTTCTACAAACTCTTCACCAAAACCTAAGTCCTAAAGATTTTCTCCTTTGAAACTGCAATACCACCTCCTTCCCAGCCTTCCTTCCCAACCTCCTTGATTTTATTGTTCTCCACAGCACTTGTCGTATTTCACTCATCCGTGTGGAGCCTGCCTTGCCTTGCTGGAGTAGTTCTCGGGTACAGGGACCTTTCCTGTACTGTTCACCGCTACAGCTTCAGTGCCCAGCACAGTGCTTGATGCAAAGTAGGTGCTCAATATACATTTGTTGAATGAATGAAGGGATCCTGGATTCTGAGATGCAAGATGGTTGGACCGAGAGGTATTACCCGAGACAGATAGCCTCACAAGCTGTATCTTTGTGAGCCACATAGGAGACAAGGATACTGGAGTGAGGACCACAGCTTTCCCACTAGAACTCTGCTCCTCCCTGCCCCCACCCCTTGTTGTCTGCTAAGACCTGAAGTTCAGGTAGGAGTTAGCAATTCTAGGATGGGGTTTCAGGCAGAGAGAACAGCACGTGAGAAGGCCGACGAGTGAGAGCATGAAACACACAGTGTAAAAGGCTGGGGTTGGGGCAAGAAGGTGGAGAGCCTCAAGAAAGACCAAGCCGGGGGTGATGGGATCAGACCCCGCTGGAGGGTGGTCTGACCTAGGGACTGGGGACAAGCTCCATTTTGGATGCCCTGGGGTAGAGGGCCACCAGGCTGTCTAAATGGAGCAGCCAGCCACAGGTCTGGAGGTGAGGGGAGCCCCAAGCTGCAGACAGGAGAACACATCTGGATGGAAACTGAGGTCAGGAGTGGATGCCCAGGGACTTGTGGAAAACACAGCTCCCCTGAACTGGACTCTGGGCGTGGAGCCCCGAAATCTTTGTTTTTCACCAGCTCTCTGGGCAATTCTGATAAGCTTGAGAATTACAGCCTTTGGGAAACTGAGAGGGTCGAGGGCTGAAGGAGAGGAAGCAAGAAAGTGAAGACCTAGGACCCTTTTTCCCCCAAAAGAGGTTGATGGAAAAAAAAAAATTAAAGTGTGAAAATACCAAGGATTAGGAGGTATTCACACTGCCGTGGGAACCCTCGTTCAGGGCTGGTGGAGGGCGCACATCCACAAAACCCAGCTTGAAAAATTGAGCACAGCCTTTCCCCCAGCCGCATACATACTCTGGAGAAAGTCTCCTGTGTCCACAAGGGAGATGTGCACGAGAATGTTCACGGCACAATGTGCACACAGCTCAAATGTCTACCCATGGGCAAATGGGTAAGTAAGATTGCAGTGGAACAGGGAACAGAGCTACCCACGTCAGTAAGGATGGATCTCTCAATGCCAAGGGGGGAAAGGCAAACCACAACACAAACTGTATATTTCCAGATACAAGCAGCTTAAAAATGTTCCAACCTAGCTCGGCTGGTGTGGCTCAGCGGACTGAGTGTCTTCCCACGGACTGAGAGGTCCTGGTTCGATTCCCAGTTAGGACACCTGCCCGGGTTGTGGGCTGGATCTCCAGTAGGGGGAGGCAGCCGGTAGATGTTTCTCTCTCATACTGATGTTTCTATCTCTCCCTCCCTCCCTTCCTCTCTAAAAAAATCAATAAAAACATATATTGTTTTAAATGTTTCACACTATTTACTTATTCATGTACAGTCTGCCTTGCCCTGTTACCGTATAATATGATCCATGCAGACATGCTAAAACCACAGAGAAATCAAGGAATTAAGTAACAAAATACAGGGAAATAAATGCCTCTGGTGGGGGAGGAGGCTGGGGTTGGGGAGGGACATCAAACCTATTAATCTTGTTGTAGTTCTTAGCCTGGATTCTGGCGATGCATCTTTTGTTTTGTTATTCTTTCTACTGTACACATATAAAGTGTTTGTAAGGTTTAAATATGTTCCTTATTTTCAATTTGGGAGACACAGACCCTTCGTGAGAGAGAAGTTTGGAGGTCCAGAAAGAGGTTTTCTAGCTGTGCTTGCTAAGAGGGGAGGGACTAGAGCATGCTCAGTACAGTAGCCAGGAGCAGGAGTGGCCACATCAGAGAGGCCCTCAAGGTTGGGATGGGACTCAAGACAGACTAACATTGACCCCAGACAGGAAGAAAGCCCTGTTTTTGTTTTAAATCCTCACCTGAGGAAACTTTTTCCATTTATCTTCAGATAGAGTGGGAGGGAGGGAGGGAGGGAGAGATATATCGACCGATTGCCTCCTGCACGACCCCAACCAGGGCCGCAGACCAAAACACAACCGAAGTACATGCCCTTGACCAGAATGGAACCCGAGACTCTCTGGTCCGAAGGTCGATGCTCTAACCACTGAGCAAAACTGGCCAGGGCAAGAAAGCCATGTTTTCATGGCACCAGTAGGATGGGTGTAGGCACAGGTAAGGCTGGGGCCTGATGGCAGGAAGAGGGGGGACTGACATTTGGTGGGCTGTCAGTTCCCTCCATGGTTGTAGTGAGGGCATCAGGGGCCCAGCCACCAGCCTCTGACCGGCACGGCATGGGGGCTGTGGTATAGTCGTGTATCTGGTCTTTGTCCCTGGTTCCAGGCACAGAGCTCCCCAAATCCTTGCAATTTCCTGAGGAGGTCTATTGTGATTCACAATGAGCCCCTTTCCATCACCCGGGGTTTATGTTCGGGAGGTGACTTGCGGCCCACCCCTAGGTAGCTCTGGATGGGAGCTGGTGGCCAGAAAGACCAAGCCATGATTAGAGAGTTGAGACTTTCAGCCCCATCTCTGATCTCTGGGGAGAAAAGAGGGGCCAGAGGTTGAGTTCAGTCTCCAATGGCCAATGATTAATCAGTCATGCCTACATAATGAAACCTCCATAAATACCCCCAAATGACAGGGTTCAGAGAACTTTGGGGTTGAACACATCGAGGTGCTGGGGGGGAGGCTGGCCAAGGCAGGCATGATGAGTCCCTACCCTCACACACCGCCCATGCCTCTCCCCCTTGGCTGCTCCTCGATTGTACCTTTTATAATAAACCAGTAAATGCAAACAGTGTTTTCTTGAGTTCTGAGAGTCATTCTAGGGAATTATCAAACCTGAAAAAAAGGGGTCATGGGAACCTCCAAATTTTTAGCCGGTCAGTCGAAAGGGATTGTGACCAGCGTTGGAGGCGGGGCAGTCTGGCAGCACTAAGTCCTTGGCCAGCGGGGTCTGTGCTCACTCCAGGTGGCGTCAGCGCCCAAAACTGCAGAACACCCAGCTGGTTGGTGTCAGAAAGAATGTCAGGGGCTTTCTGCTCTGTGAGGTTCTGAGATTCTCCTAGCCCTAGAGCCCTGGGGGCTTCATCCTGAGTCAGAGGCTTTCAAGGACCCTGCTGGGAATCTGACCACCATTTTCCCACTTATTTTCAAGGAAAAACCTATTTCTGGGTTATAAACTCAGCCCCAAACACACTTCTGGAATGTGATCACGTAGCCTATGCCTAGTAAAGGACCCAGGGACTGCAGGCGTCCTGCGTACTCGGCCCCACCTCTGGCCCCTGGGCTCACCTGTATTTTGAGCCTGAATTTTCTGATGCCAGAGAAAGCTTTAAGTGCGTTCAGAGCTTGGATTTTGACACTGTTGTCCTTGTCATCCAGCATAGAGCCCACCAACATGATGTCATCAGTAGTGCAAGCAGAGGCCTAGAGTGTGCCAGGAGAGATGGAAGAGGCAGGAGTGCATGTCCTAGGCCCCGTGCCCCTCACCCATGTCACCAAGACCTCTCAGCACAACTCCTCCCACCATCACCAGCCAGAGACAGGTCTCGGGACACAAGCTGACCAGTCAAGGGGGCAGGGATCAGCTGTACCCCCAGAGCCCAGGCTGACTGGGAGGGACCTCCGGCTTCCCTTCCCTCACCTCGGCCTCCAGCAAGTACACACAGCGGGTAATATTGTGCAGGATCATGCTCTTGGTGTACTCATCCTGCTTGCACTCCAAAGAGTTGAGAAGCCTCCGGAGCTCACCCGAGTCCCGCCCGTGCCGTTCTCGCTCGATTGCCAGGCCTGGACAGACGACCCAGCCCAGTTCAGGCTGTGGACTCAGAAGTGATGAGAGTGGGGTTGGGAAGGGGGGGGCCTGGGACAGAGCCAGCTGCCTTGCCTTTTCTGAAGAGCGGTCTCGCTGTGCGCAGGACCATGTGCAGTTGGACAGGGCGTGCACTGCACAAGGGCAGCATATCTAATGCTCTACCATCCACATCATAAAAACCATAGCTTCTAATATTTACTGTAACAATTTCCTGGCATATGCAGTAATATTTCATCATAATTCATATATGGCAATGACATTCCAGCAGATGATAATAAAAAGTCTTGCAGAAGGGGCGCCTTTTTCTACTTTGCACAAAGTTGTCATAGGAACTAGTGGAGGCTCTGAGCCTGTAGATCCCTCACTTTTCCCTTGGGGAGAACTGCTGATGCCAAATTCTTCCACACGGGCACCCTGGAAGCTACAGTGAATGTAGAGTTTAAAGACCTGCCAGATGGGTCCTGAGGATCCCCATGCAGTGCTCTCCACTACCCAGACACCCTGAGCTAGAGCGAGTTTAAGGAAGACGGAAGAGAAAGAGGAAGAATTTGGAGAAGTCACCTCTGGTCCCTCCCACACGGGAGGCCTTGGGAGCAGGTGCTGAGCCCTCTCCCCAGGACCCAGACACTCACGGGCGATGCAGATGGGCGAGGCGGTACAGAGGGGGGGCTGGCATTTTAAGCCAGCCCTGATGGCCTTGTAGAGCAGGTAGATGGCCCCGGCGCCTATGGCCAGGCCCACTACACTTTTGCGGATGTCCAGTTGCTCCAGGCACTGGTGGACACTCTTGCCCATGTCCTCAGTGCTGCCTTGCGCCCGGGTGGGAGCTAGGCCCGAGGCACCTGGGAAGGGCCTTCCGGAACCAGAACTTTGGCAGGGCCAGGAACCAGGGTACCAGAATCAGAACCCAGGCAACAAAGGAAAACTGGAGAAATGGTGCGATGGAGGTTGGTCGGGAGGCAGGGCAGCCAGAGGTACTTGGCAGGAGAGAAGGTTTAGCTTAGAGGCTGTGGGAAATGAAGCTCAAGACTCTACTATGGGAAGAAGAAGTCTGTGATCTATCTTCACATCCCCTGTGTAGGGCAGCCCGGTTGGTGGGGCCCCAGAGGGCGGCTCCGGAGGCTGCGTTTCCTCCATTAGAGGGCAGCAGAGGCCCAATTTCTGGGCTGGTCCTTCCCAAGTTTCTGGGAGGGGTTTGGGGTGTGCCCACTGGCAGCCCCAGTTCCCTCACTCCTCTGGCCCTCCTGTCTTCCATCTCTTCACCACAGACCCACCGCTGGGCCACAGGCGTTTCTGAGGGGAGGACGCACCTCATAAAGTTCTGCAGAATCTTGAGACAAATCGTCGTTGTACAGCAGCTCCATGTTCTCCTATAGAGTCCATTCACCTGAGTGACCAAAAGCTCTTGAGGGCAGGTGTCTGCACCTCCAACACTCAGCACAAGTCATGACTTCTGTCATTCTTTGAGGACTTGAGAGCTGAACAGTGACAGAGAATCTGGATACAGGGGCTCCAGGCCCATTTAATCAGTGTGACCCTGGAGGAGAAAGTGACTGCCCTTGCCTAGGTCTGTTTCTGCATTTGTAACCCAAGGAGATCCAGATTTACCATCCAAAAACTCCAGGATTAAAAATTGGGTAGGCCCTGGCCGGTTGCTCAGTGGTTAGAGCGTCAACCTGCAGTCCAGAGAGACCTGGGTTCGGTTCCCGCTGAGGGCATGTACCTTGGTTGCAGTTTGTCCCCAGCTCTGGTCAGGTCGTGCGGGTGAACCACTCAATGTGTCCCTTTCATGTTGATGTTTCTTTCTCTCTCTCCCACTCTATCTGAACAAAAAATGGAAAAATGTCCTCGGGTGAAAATAAAATAAAATTTATAAAAACAAACAAAAATTAGGTAGGTCTATGCCTTTAAACCATGGGGGCCTAAATCTGTGAGTACCACACCCTGCCCCCTCCCCCCATCACCCTGGAAGATGAGAGCCCAACTTTGGAGGCCTTGATTTTCACCAGCAGGATGAGACAGGTGAGATCAGCCCCTTCCCTCCTTCTCTTTCACTCCATGTCCCCACACCTGCTGGCCTCACCTCTGGTACAGAACCGGGAGGTGACAAGCCCCAAGCCAGGCTCATGCCCAGAGCCAGTGCTAAGCATGGTTGTACCAGAACAGGGCTTCCCATGCCTGGCTGTGAGCTCCTGCTGGAAGGCTCTGGTTCCGGGCTGCACCTGGGCTTGAAGGTAGGGAAATAGGAAAACAGCCTCCCCGAGGATGCTGCAACCAGCCAGGCCTGTCCACCCAGAGCCTTTGTCCATCACACCCAGCGGCAGGCAACACTCTTATGTGGCCATTCTCCTCTCCTCTGCCCCAGCCTCGAAGTGGGTGATTACATAGACCGCCTGCAAGGACCTCCACACTGCCTAGGGACCAACAGTCACCACCCACGAGCTCCAGGAAGGAAAGGCCTGCCTCATGAGGACTGCTTCAGGTTCCAAGGCTACCCTGGTGGATCTGTGGATAGATCCTTCAGAACAAGGTCCCTGCCCTTCTCTGGGGTGTGACCCAGAGTCAATGGTCTCTCAGTCCATGGATTTGATTTTTCAATCCTCATATCATAAGCAAACACAGTGCTCACGCGTTCTTTTTTTTTTATCCTCACCTGAGGACATTTTTTTATTTTTTGTTCAAGTAGAGTGGGAGGGGGAGAGAGGAAGAGAGAGAGAAATATCGATGTGAAAGAAACACATCGAGTGGCTGCCACCCGCACGACCAACCAGGGCCGGGGACAAACTGCAACCGAGGTACATGCCCTTAGCGGGAACCGAACCCGGGTCTCTCGGGACCGCAGGCTGATGCTCTAACCGCTGAGCCAAACCGGCCAGGGCGTGCTCACGCGTTCTTTAAAGGCTTCCAAAGGAGAACTCTTTCTTGGCTCTAACCTAGCTCCTTCCTGCTGTACCTAAAGCCCATTTCTTTTGGTTCTGCCCTCAAATGATTCAAAGGAATTAGAGGCAGAGGCATCCCGATTGTGACACTTCCACTAGTCCACAGCACAAGGAAAAAAAAAGACCGCTCTGGCCGGTTTGGCACAGCAGTTACAGCATCGGCCTACAGACTGTAGGGTTGTAGGGTCTTGGGTTCAATTCCCAGTGAAGAGCACATACCTGGGTTGCAGGTCAATCCCCGGCCCTGGTCGGGGTCATGCAGGAGTCAACCAATTGATGTTTCTCTCAGTCTCTCTCTCTCTCCCACTCTATCTAAAAATCAATGGGAAAATATTCTTGGGTGAGGATAAATAAATAAATAAATAAAGACAGAGGAATTCTATTTGCTGGTGTAAAGTCAATGTTCTTTCTTGGGAATGACTGCTTTTGTTTCAGATGATGTCCTTCTTAGTTTGAGGAGAATTAAAGTATACTTGTTTTTATGAAATTATGGTAACAGATGCTAGTTGTTTTTTTTTTAATGTTCTTAAGGAGCATAAATGAAGGGTGCAACTCTTTGTGGGAACGTGGCTTTTGTTTTCTTGTTTTGGCTTTTCTGTCAAATCCAGAAATCTGGAGCCACTGGTGAGAGAGAAGTCTGAGATTCCACTTACATACAGCCAGCCCCAGGCTTCTTACTCACCCTCACTAAAGCAAAAGGATACAGGTTGCCCTAGCACACGGCTCTGCCATCTGCACCAGCGTTCTACCTTCAAGGCTGATGTTCTGTCTGTTACGTGCAGCTTAGTTTAGTGAGAATGTGGGCTCTAGCCAGAATACCAGGCCCAAAACCAGCTCAGTCACTTACTTAGCTTTGTATTTTGTTTGTTTTTAATTTTTTAAATTGATTTTTGGAGAGAGAAAAAAGGAGGGGGAGAGAGAGCACCCACGTGAAACATCCACTGGTTGCCTCCTGTACCACCCTCCCCAAGGGAATCAAACCAGGAACCCTTCAGTGGGGGGGGGGGGGCACCCAAGCAACTGAGCTACATCAGCCAGGGCAGCTTTTCGATTTCTTCATGCTGTATTTTCCCATCTGTAAAATGGAAATAATACCTACCTTGGGAGGCGGTTTGTGGTGATATTAAGTGAAGTACTTAGAACAGTAACCAGCACATAGAGCTCACCAAATTTATAACTACTATAATCAGGCTTCACCTGTCGAAAATGTTGCGCATGGGAAGGCTGTGAGTCCCAAATGGTGGGCCTCCATGAGGCCCTTTCCACTCACACTTTACCCCACCCACCCTGGTCTTCTTCAGGCTAATCACTCTCAACTTCTGTAACCCATTTACTGTCTTGAACAATTTCGGATTAGAGAAATTTGAGAAACCTCATACGATGGCGGGGGGTTGGGGGGACTACTGTGCAAGACAAGAGTTCTAGGTCATTAAAGAGGGTGACTCTGGAGGGGCCCAACGCTTGTGTGCACAGAAGCTAAGGGAAAATGAGATTACTTTACTGAAAAGCCTCAGGAGTCCAACCAGCTTGAGTTTGGGCAAATTCCACAAACTGAGTCTGAATTTCCTACTCCGGAACACGGGTCTATTAATACCTACCACTACCGGGAAGTGCTGCAGTCGGGAATGAATGTGTTATGACTCGGTGCACAGAAGACGTCCAACACGTGCGAGCTTCCCCCGCACAAAGCCAGAAGCCGAGAGATGAAAGCAGGGGGGCTCTGTGCCCTGCCGCGGTCCCCCACTCTCTGAGCCCGCCCTTCCCCCGCTAGCGCTTACCCTGGCCCAGGAACCAGATTCGGGAGCCTGTGGGTAGCTCGTTGCTCCCGAGGCGGCATAGCGACCGGGAGAAATGCCGCGAAAGCCCGGGGAGCGGAGGGGCGGCGCCCCCAGAGGAGGAGGGCCGGGCGGGGGTGGAGGCCGCGCCTTTCCCCGCCCCGGGCCTCCCTCTCGCCCTCCGGTCTACCTCCCCCCGCGCGCATCCGGCGGCGGGCACAGGATGTTCTTTCGCGCTGGTTCCCCACACCGCGCCCTCCCCCCGCGCCCCCGCTCTCACTTTCCCTTCGCTCCCCTCCCCCACCCCCGCCGCCGGCACCTTGTTTAACTCCTTCCCTCCCGCGCTCCGCGCCGGCCCGCCGCCCCTTGGGGGTCCCACCCTTCCCGCGCACCCCCCGGAGCCCGAGGGCTGCCCGGGGAACCGAGGGCCTGCGTTGAGCGCTGGGCTCGGGTTCTCGGGGATCCACTGGCTGGTCGGGGGTGAAGGGGTGGAGAGGGATCCCCGGACCTGAAGCCGGCATCCTCCCGGCCCCCTCCAGTTCAGCGGTGCGGAGAGCTTGGGGTGGGCACCCGCACCCCAGTGAGCCACGCGCGCGAGCGGGGCGGCCAGGTGCGGGTAGTTAGCTCCAGGCCCGGCGGGGGCGGGAGGGTCGAGGGTCCCAACCTCATCCTCTTCCCTGGTTGGGATCAGAAGGGGCCCCCGGCTCCAGCAGAGGATGGGAGGTGACGCCCCTTGCGGACACGTCACTGTTGTCAAGGCAACCGGGGGCGGGGGAAGCGGGCTGGAGAAGCCGAGACCAGACCTTTGAGAAAGGAGGCTGCCAGAGGCTTTGGGACTTGGGAGGAGGTGGGAGGAGGCGGGGGCGGGCTTTTCAATCTTCCCTTATTCACTCGTTGGTGGAAGGATAGGTTCTGTTCGCTGGTTCATTCAACAAACTTTCATTGATCTTGAATTAGGCTGGGCGCCGTGCTTAGGCAGTGGGTGACGGCGGCGCTCCATCCGAACCTTGCCCTCACCGGTTGTTGAGTTCGGGTAGGCTGGCCAGACGTCGCGGGGTTACGTCTGCAGTACCGGTGTAAT